TACAATAATAGAAATAAATATAAATATAAAATACATAAATAACATAATAATAACATAATAATAAAAATGTATACATACATTGAATCAAATATCATTTCTGAATCATTTATAATTCAGAACAATTTACCATAAAATGATATAAAATATAGACAAATATAAATGAATATAGAATGTGTATTTAATTTACTTTTTTATTTTTTATTTTTTTAGGAGCAAAATAATAAAAACTATTATTTTATTGATTCAAATTATTTTGCCCCTTTTTTGTGTTTTTTATTTAGATACATTATTTCTTTGCTTATTTTGGGAACCAAAATAACATAACTTGTTCATGAAAAATTACCATTATTATCAAAAGTATTAAATATCTATATTAAAAAATACAACCCATAAAAATTAACTCACAAAACAACGACACTAATAACATAAGTAATAGAAAAAAAAACAACAAAAAATAAAATACATTTGTATTTGAGGTAATAATTAACAAAGTAAAATATCAAAAATAAAGGTGATAGTGGATTGAAAAATTCACTTAATAAATAACGTATAAAAACAAAAGTAGAAATGGTCATAACATTTGAAAGAAAGAGTTGAATTGTTGAAATAAAAAATAATGCAAAATAACTGCAAAAAGTAATTAAAAATATAAATAAAAGAAGATAAAAGAAGATATATAAAATACGAAAAGGTCGAAAAAAAAAACAAACGTCATTTCTTCCAAATAACAGATAGTTTGAAATAAAAAAAACTAATGAATAATTTTTTTTTATATTTGAAATGATGTTTATTAAATATGAAATAATAAATATTTAATATATTAATTTAATTAAAATCAACTTGGTATCATTCTATTTTTTTTATTGATGTAATTTAAATACTTTATTTATTACTTAATTTATTCAGTCCTAATGAACAAACAACTCATCAAAGAGCTTTATGACGAAGGAAAACGTATCATCCAACGACAAACTGACCCACGACTTATAAAAGAATCTGCACAGTTCAATACTTTTATTCAACAAAATTCACTATCATATCAGGTTTTTAGCCGGTCTTTGGAAT